TCGCCTGGACCACTCCCAGGAGCCCCTTAACCACTCTTACAGCCAGTAGCACCCCATCAGCCCAGGTTGCAGTGGGCTCCATGCCCCCCAGCCCCGGCTCCCCTGCCTGGCCTGCAGGGCCCTCACCAGCTGACCTCCTGCACTCCTTCCGGGGGCTCCAGCTTCTCTAGTCCTTCCTGCTTCTCCCCAGATGTCCTGTTTAGTTCCCCTAAGCTGTCCTGCCTTCTCTTGGTTGCTCCCTCACCTTGTCAAGCTCTTCTGCTAAGCCTGACCTTTCTGTCCAGGCCTGCTTGGAGCACCCCTCAAGCCCTCAGCCTGTGGCACTGGCCCTGGCCTTGACTATGGCTGCACCCATGCTGTACGTATTCAAGTTCAGGCACCTGACCAGATGCTGGCACCTGTTCCTCACAGCCAAGCAGCCTTGGCTTCTCCCTCTTAAACAGCAGTTACAGCTCTCACGGGCACAGACAGACTGGGCAGCTCCTGGCACTGTCTTATGTCAGCCTCCTGCTCAGGGCCCTGTGCCGGGGACCGAGGAGGGATGGGTTGGTGACAGTCATGCTGCCTTCCCTTCTCATTGCCCTGAGCCTGACCTCAGCCCTCTGCAGGCCGGGAGCCTTTCTGTCTACTCCTTCCTTCCCAGGGCTCTCCTACAGAATCCTCAGGCACATGGTTTCCCCATGACCAATCCGGTCCTCCCGACTGGCTGCGGGTAGCTGGCACCCAAGCCCACATTTGATCGGCACCAGCTTTCCATGTGCCAGGCATCATTTTGTACATCACAGCACTGATGTGCACAAGCTAAACCACGCCGGGGTGATCATGCCAGCCCACTCTGCAGATGAGAAAACCGAGCCCCCAGCTAGGTCAGCAAGCTTGGCCGGAGGCAGGACGCAGGAGTGACAGAGGCAGGGTGCTGACACTGCTGGGGCTGACTCCCTGACACCCCCGAGCACTTGGCCCCCTCATCGGCCCCCATCTGTCACCTGGTGGAGAGCCGGCTCTCTGGTCACCACCCCTCTTTGAGCCCAAGCAGCCGGAGGACACAGCGTGGCTTCCTAACCATGCCATCACCTCTGCACTGTCCATCAGCCCATTTCTTCTCCCTTGTGGGTGGCCAGCTCAGCATACTTGCCCCAAATCCTCTTGACTACAACAGGAGTCTTCCTGTCTCAGCCTTCCTCACTGCCACAATCTCTTTTCAAGGGGGGATCTTTTGCTAAACTTCTCATCTTGCAGGTCCAGGACCATCTTGCAGGTCTCCTCTGGCAGGATCCAGTGCTTGTGTGATGGGATGTCTCTGTGATCATGGTGAGGCTCAAATCCCTGACCTGGGATCCCACAGGCAAGTTGCCTAAAGATGAGTTAAAATGAACTTGGCTGAGTGGCAGTGTGTGTGTGCAGGTACACCTGCGGCTGTGCAGATGTGTTCACGCGTGCCTCTGCCCATGCAGCGTGGATGTGTCTGCCGTGCTCAGTATTATGTGCAACACACTTGAGCTATGCAAACGTTGTACACAAGGTTGCTGAATGCATGCACGCATGAGCAATGTTCAGTGCATCTTCATGTGTACTTGTGCACCTGCTGTGTGCATGAGCTTCCCAGCCCACACAAGGGCCTCCCTGATTTGGCTTTCCATTAGAAGGGCCTGCCTGGTGAATTTTTACATTTTGGATCTTTCTCCTCGGGCTCCCTCTGTCCTTCCGTGACTGTCCTGAGTCCCCGCTTACCTCCTTCTACCTAAAGGAAAAGCAGCAGCCGGCAACCCTGGAGCCAAGTCCACAGCTCCTGGCTCTGAGGTGCTGGGCACCTGCTCCGCACTCAGAGTCGCCGCGGAAGCACTGGGGGCTGAGGGGCCTCAGAACTAAACGCAGGGAAGCTAGGAGCCCCTGAGCTGCCTCTCCCACCCCACCCCACCCCAGCTGAGTTGCAGATGCCGGAGCGCCAGCAGAGGGCGCTCCTGTCCAGAGCTCACTCCCCCAGTGCCATGATCCTCCCCTGCTCCCCAACGCCCCACCCCTACCCGTGGGAACTCCCCACGCAGGTGGCAGGAGCTCAGTCCCTCAAGCCGTCAGGACTACCTCTCAGGGCTTGCAATGGAGGAAGTGGGAGTCAGGGGCCAGTCTGAGTTTCAGACCCAGCAGGGGACTGCAGTGAGGGATGCGAGTCTCTTAACCACTAAGCCAAACCCTGTGCCACATCCTAATTCTTAGTGCTTTTTTTTCCTGTTAACCACTTTTGGTTCTCTGCACCTGTTTCCTGGTAAGAAGAGGATAATGATATCCAGCTCAGAGTTGCTGTAATGGTGAAATAAGAAGCTTCTAGAACAGTGCTGCACACAGAACTTAATAATAATGAATTCCTACTGTTGATGGTGGGCACACGGCATGGTGGATTGCAGCTTGGAACACCAGGACTGCCTGGCTGGAGTCCTGTCTCCACATCCAAGCCAGTTTCCACCTTGTGTGCATCCTGGGAAGTGGCACGAAAGGGCTGAAGTCATGGCTCCCTGCCGCCCACATGAGAGATCTGGATTGAAATCCAGGCTCAGCCCTGGTTGTTGTGGGCTTAGTTAAGGAGGCGAGCCAGTAAACAAAGATCTGTGTCTTCCTGCCTTCCAATGAAATGCAAACAATAAAAATTTGTGAAAAATAATTATTACAATGGAGAATGGCTGCCTAGCCCTGCCTCAGGCCCACTAACTATGCCGTAAGGTACCACCTCGGCACTCAGGCCCTTGCCCTGTGTCACTTTAGGGTGCTTCACAGGTCACACATGGGAAGGGCCCATGACCAGGTTCTGCCCAGGCTAGAGACAGAGAGAAGTGTGGCTGGAGTCCACACCGCAGGCGCACACAGCAGTTTGTCCAGAGGAGCGGAAAGTTTGCTTTGTCTAAAGCGCCCTCTGCTGGCCATTGGCAGAAGGCCTAGGGCAAGGCTGGCTACTGAACGGCAGAGTAGAGACCTTCCCTGGCCAGGGTCAGGGGCTTCTGCCAGTCCCCCACCCCCTCCAGAGCCCAGAGGGCCACTTCTACTCTCAAAGTGTCCATCTAGAAGTAGTGCTCATTCTTTCTCTCTCAGCCTGATAATAACTTCCAAAGATAGCTTCCCCGTTGGGGTCGACAGGCGAGTACAAGTTAACAGGCAGCAGGCTGCTCTCAGAAGCTACTGAGTAAAAGTGGGCAGGGGGGAAGTTAGCACGCAGGACAGCCCTATGCAGTGTCCAGAGCCGGGGGCGGGTGGTGGTGTTTTCTTCCTTAGGCTAGGGGGAGGGGAAGGGCACCCCAGGCGGGCTCTGTCACACTGGGAAGCACATTAGCCATGTTGCGGAGAGCTCAGTGCACGCGCACAGATGGGCACAACCGTCTCCCCTATCCTCCATCACTCAACTCCACAAATGCACAGAGCAGACAAATGCCATCACCCAGTGAGAGACTGGAGCAAAACTGCTGGGAGGACTGTCCCCAGAGTGAGGCTAGGGGCCACCGTGGCCTCTCTGGGTCTCTGGCGCGGGAAGGAGGGCGGAGCAAGGTCGCTGGGAGCCTGGCACTTTCTGGGCCCTTCTAGAGGGCTGGGAGATGAGAGCAGAACCACGGGTCATTGTACTGTAGAGGCTGACAGTGCCCAACAGCAACATTCCAGGGCACGGGGCTCCAGCAGCGTCCGCAGAGGCCCAGGAGGGAACAGGATGACGCTCAGTGCCTGGTGGGTCAGGCTGGCAGCAAGAAGGTGGGGACACTCACCTCCTTCGGGTGAATGCTCACCCCAGGTTCTGCACGAGCGTCCACAGGCTTGGGCAGGGAGGGCGGAAGTCAGCGCTGGTACTAAGGGTCAGAACCTGAAGCCATGGATCCCACCTGCAGATCCTGCCCATCTCTCCCTACAACCTGGCCTTGGAAAGTTGCAGCACTTCGGCACTCTTCTCTCAACATCATGCTCCCTGCCACCAGCCTCTGCCACATTCCATCCTGGCATCTACCCCCAAGGAAGCCTGGGAACAAAGCAGCACTGAGTGGATGCCAGGAGGTTCCCTGTCCGGGAAAGCAAGGGTGGGCGCCCAGAATGGGTCTCGTGTGGGCTGGCGGTGCACAGCTAAGGAAGGGGTAGGGCTCAGCTTTGGTTTACTAGCTCGAGGGCCTGCTGCCTCCCTTCCCTCCCCAGATCCTCTTGGCACATGGAACCTGTCGGTAGCAGGGTTGCAGCACACACGCATGGCCCAAGGGTGACATTGTCACCCAGGAATGGCCTTGGCGCAAGTGCTAGGATGCCACCCCCATTTGTGTACACAGGCACACGCTCCCTTCCCTGTCCAAGTATCTCCCAGGACAACATGCATGATACACACCCAGGTTTGGGGGAAGGTGTCTCCCAGGGCCACAGGCAAGGCACGTACGAGTTTACTCCATCTGTGAACAACCCAGACCTGAACCCCATGAAGGATTTGGGGTGAGGGACTGAGACACAAGGAAGAAGTAGGATCACAGAGACCTGGTTTACCAGTGGAGGAGGAGGAGTGGGCAGGCTCATGGGGATGCCCACCTCATACCTGGGAGTGCCTGGTTCTAGTCCTGGTTATTCCACTTCCAACCCACATTCCTAACCTTGTGCCTGGGAGGCAGCTGGTCAGGACCCAAGTACCTGTGTCCCTGCCAGGCCCATGCGGGCAGGCCCAGATGGTTTCTGTCTCACCTCAGCAAATGGGGGCATTTGGGCATATGAACCAGTGGATGGGAGATCCGTTATTGTGTATATCAAGAAAATTAAGAAAAGAGTGGAGGGGACAGAGCGATTGGAGGGAGACCCAGTCCCAATCTTGGGCATAGCACCTAAGGACCTGGCATCTATGGTGCCCATTCAGTGTATCCACGCATGCAGCAAAGCCACCCCCGCAGGAACCCGGCTGTTCCCTGCCCTGGCTCAGAGCAGAAAGAGGGAGTCATGCGCTTTGGGGCCCAAGCCCCTGGTGAGAGACACAGGGCCGGGTGAATAGAGGACGTTTAATATTTCTGTGCTGGTCAAACGAACACAGGTGGGGGGTACACGGGGTGGGGCGGAGGCCCCGCCTCTCAGGAGGGGTGCATGGGGGTGGGGAGGGTCTCGGGCAGTGTCCAGGAGCCTTCTCGGTCAAGGGGCCTGGCCGGGTGTTCCGAGCACCTGATAAACCCCGTCTCAGCCTGAAGTCGGGGAACGGGGGTCCCCCATAGGGGGTCTGGGGAGACTCACTTCCTCTTCCAGCCCTTTCTGCTGGAATCCACATTCCCAGCACAATGGGGGACTTGTTCCTGGAGAGTCCCCTCGGGAAGCAGTCCAGGGCGTGTGGGACCACCGTACCCCAACCCTCTCTTTTTTCCTTAACCAACCCACCCAAAGCTGGACAAGAGCCCAGAGGAACAAGGCCTCTCCACCCCTACTGAGTCCTACGGGGGGGGAGGGTCCCTGGGTCAGGTGGAGGAAGGATGGAGGGAGAGGGTCTTGCCACCAACAGACACTGTAAACTTTGGTTTAAAACAATAACTTAAGTGGAGGGAGGGCTTCCAGCCGGCGGGCAAGGGGTGGGGGGATGTCTGGGGTGGGGGACAGGTGTCTGGGCAGGGACGGGGGAGTCTGGGAGGCGACAAAGGAAAAGAGCCAACAGAAAGTTTTGGTTTTTGCTTCCGGCATAAGAAAGGTCTTTGGTCATCCGTTTAACTGGGGGACAGGGAGGACGCCGGGAACCTGCAGGCTGGAGCAGCCAAGCTGGGTCTTGGCCCTCTTTCCCTGGGCGCATCCCCACCATCCAGGCACTGCCCCGGCCCCAACCCCGGCCCCAACCCCGGCCTCCTGGGCATTGGTCCACCTGGCACGGGTTTCTCTGTGCAGAAGATGGGCATGGAGCCTCCTTGGTGCCCAGCGTGTGGGGGTGTGAGGAGGGGGTGGCCCAGCTCAGCCTGGGTCCCATCTCAAGTTGGGGAGATGTCTGCAGGGCACACAGCTAATCCCACCCCAACAGCCATGGAGTTGATTTCTTCCAGGGCTGGTCTGAAGTCCCCATCTCCCGTACCTTCTGGCTCCCCCCTCTCCACCCTGTCCCTCTGCAAGGTCGGGCAGGGGTAGTAGTTGGGAGGGCCGGGGGCAGAGTTCTCTCTTCACAGTACGGAAAAGGCGGTGGAAGGGGGCACACATCAGGGAAGTCGGGGGGCCTCTGGCCAGAAAGCACTGCTGGAGCCAGGTGCCAGGGGCTGGGGTGTGAGGGTGACTTAGCCCCGCCTGCGGGTCTCCATGGCGCTTGAGGGGCCCTGTTGGGGGGAGAGCTGGTGGGGGAGGAGGGCCCTGCTACTGCTGGTGGTTGGGGGCGGGGGCAGGGATCAGACGTGGGGGAAGGTCTGAGAGGGGTTCTGGACCCTCCGTGTCCTCGGTGTCCCCTCGGGGGTGGGGGCTTTGGGCAGGGTCATGCCTGTCCCAAGTGTGTTCCTCTGTCAGGTCACACCCTGGCCGGGATCTCCCCCAACTCAGTTCTGGAAGTGCCTTGAGGTTCGGGAGGGGCTGAGGAGTGGGGGGTGGGTGGCCTGGGTCCCGGGTGGGAAGGGTCTCACCCCTGCCCTGCCCGTGCCTGACGACAGGCCCTTAGGACAGCTCCTCTCCCGGCAGCTCCTCCTCCAGGTCCCTGTCTTCTGGAGGCCCCACTGGACTGGGGTTGGGAGGTACGAGGGGGGGCCCAGGCCGTCTGTCCTCCTCCGCCTCGGCTGGCTCCTCCTTCACCTGTACCTGGTGGCTGTGGCAAGAGGGAAGATGATGACCTAGTTCCCTGGGTGCCTTCCTTGGACTTCCTGTGAGCCCCTGGAGTGGGCCAGAGCTCTAGGCAGAGCCCAGCACCCATGCCTCCCCGCCCCATCCTAAGGAGCAAGGACACAGCACAGGAACTGGTCAGCAATGAAAGGGATTGAGGGCAGGGAGGAGGCAGGGAGGACCAGGAAGAGGAGGACCTGTAGGGCTGGGGGTGCTGGCGTGCTCACCTGTACTGGGGAGGGGAGAGGCGAGGGGGACTGCTGTTGCCATTGCTGGGCAGCGGCTCCACCGGGGCACCCATGTCCTCGTGGCTGAGGGGCAAGAGGCTGCTGGCCGAGCCGGGGTTCAGCACACCCGGGCTGTTCAGGAGGGGGAAGCTGCTCTCGGCCAGGGCGGCCTGTGGGGCACAGGATTGGGCACACCACCCCTCTGTCAGCAGGCCCCATATGGGGTGGGTACACCTGGTGCCACTGTGTTCCTGGTCCCATCCCTGGGTGACCTCCACTGGGTCCCGGACCCAGCCTTTTGGATGTGCACCCCTTCACCCCTCCCAAGGCTAGAATGCTGAGTCCTAAGCACCGTCCCTGTCCCTCCCCTCTCCCCTGGAGGACTAGGCCCTGGCTGATTGCACCTTGGGCAGCCAAGGACAGGCTGGGGGTCTGGACACCCAGAGAGGTGTCTCCCTCCCTCCCGCTTCGTGCTCCCCTCCCACAGGGACCTGGGGGAGGCTCTGGGGGTGCAGTCACCTGGTAGCTGGCATTAAGTGCTCCATAACTGAGGCCTGACAGCATGTTCTTCACCAGGGTGGGACTCCTGGGGAAAGATGGGGCACTCTGGCTCTCTCACCCTTTCCTAAGCTCACCCCTGGCCTGTGTTGGGGACTTTGTTGATCTGGGTTGGAGGGGAAGAGGTCCACAGAGCCGTGACTTCGTCCAGCGGGTGCAACAGCCCCTTCCCAGGAAAGGGTGCTGAGCCTTGCGGCTGACCCCAAGCCTCAGGTCAGGATGGAGGGAGCGGGATCCTGCCCTCTCTATCTTCCTGCTGGACTGGGGGTGGGGACAGCTGGAGAACCTTCGCGCTTTCTGGTCTAGCATCCTGTGTGCAGTAAGGTCTCTGCTGAGATGACAAGAGAAGCCGGCAGGACAGGGCATCGAAGCCACGGATCTGGCTCGACTCCACCCACCCGCTATGTGGCATCCCACCAGCCACCTGCCCTGTATGGGCCCACTCCCCAGCCCCCTGTAACGCTGGCATCTGTCCCTCTCTGCTTCTGGGTCTCTCTCAGCTCCTTCTCTCAGTCAGCAAGGACAGAAACCTGACTCCGAGCACTGGGTTCCTGTCCCCTGAGGCTCCTCCTGCGAAGGAACTGGTGGGTAGCACCCAGCACCCAGCAGAGGTATGGGCTAGGCCACAACTCTCACGCTGAGGGGGTGGACGGGGTAGGGGTGTGAACCCACCCCCTCCCCCAGGTCTGGACCTGCATACCCCGTCATCTTTGGCGGTCTCCGCTTCTGATACTCTCGCTCATCCACGGTCCACACAGCACCCTTGACGTTTTCCACACGGACAAAGCACTTGTGCAGGCTGAGGTTGTGGCGCACAGCATTCTGGGGGGGTGCAGTGGAGACAGACTCAGAGGCGGTGGCTGGGGCCTCTCTCTGCACCCAGGCATGTCTCTGTCCAGTCCCATTTCCTGGGCAGCAAGTACATTGGCCTTGTCCCTACCCAGGGCCAAACTGAGGCAGAGAACCCCCCTGCCCGGCCCTGGGAGTCAGGGGCTGTTGGCCTCCTGCGTGCCCATAGCCCACTTGACTCTTCACCTCTGGCTGGCGCTGATACCCTCAGGGAAACAGCCCATCAATGAAACACCATGGGGTTGGTGACCACTGGCTTCCCCATCATCACATATCAATGCTACAAGCAGCTGCAAGGCTGGGCTTCTGTTGGGCTTGGGGTCACACGTGGGACATGCAGCCTGGGCATATTCCCACTAAGCTTCTTCAAGTTCACAGCCCCCACGGCCATCTTCTCCAACCCCTGGGGATTCTGACATTGGCTTAGAGCCGACAGCGAGATGCTCCAAGTTGAGGGAGGGAGGATGGCAGAGCCATAATACCTATGTGCTACAACACATAACCCGGGAGAAAGAAGATGAAGGAAGGGTTTGGTGGGAGAGCGGGAGAGCGAGAGAGCGGGAGAGAGAGAGAGAGAGAGAGAGAGAGAGAAGCTGAGTTACCTTGTCATTCTCCCTCCTCCCAGCAGGGGAGCATCAGGAATCGAGGTTGGCTGGTTTGTAGGACACTGGGTGAGGGCGGGGTGCTCGGCCCCACCCACCCATGGGAGCCTAGTAGGGGCCCTAAACGAGTCCTTAGCCACAGTCCTGCCCCTGTCTGCTCCTCTCTCGGTTTCCCAGTTCTGCCCTCCCTGCTGGCCCCAGCTGCCTCAGTCCCTGTCCCTCTTACCTGTCCTGCCTCAGCCTCCCCTCCACTGCCCCCCAACCCTGTCCTCATCCTTGCCTCCTCTTTACATTTCTAAACGGGAAAGAAAGCGGCCAGGGCGGGCAGCCCGTGCCCCTGGAGATCCCCTCTCCCTCTCTCCCTTCCGACTCTTGCCACTTGCAACTGGCCCGATTTCATTACCAATTTTAATTTGCCTCTAATTAAATCCTGTGTATTTTTCCGACTCGCTTGCTAATCCACGAGGGAGGCGGGCGGCTGGAGTGGAATCTCTTGGAGCGATAATTACAAAGGGCCTAATCACGCCGGGGCTCCTGCCTCGGAATAAATTTGCCCGCATTACGGGGCTCCGATCCTCCGCTTTGCAAATGAGAATGACCCCAATTTCCGAAGATGGCCTCACCGGGGCTTTTTTCCCTCGTTTCGAAGCCTGATTCGTGATGAGAGACTAATTCGTTACGCTGAAACATTAACGGCAATTTAAGGGGTCTGGCTGGGGCCGCGTAAACAAAAGGATGGGCCCACAACACAGGCCCTGGGAGGGGACGGACACAGGGGGAGGGCCAGCGAGGACCATGGGCTTGGCAGATGGCGGTGCTGTCCCTGGATGAGCGGCAGCTGGCCTGGCCCACCCACACCCACTCTTGGCCCTTCTGTCCCAGACCAGTGGCGCTGGTGCTGGCGTCTCCTGGTGGGAGGTGGGACAGGACAGAAGCCAACTGTGATCCAGCGAACTCGGGATGGACGGTGCAGGTGGTAGAAAAGTGTTAGATGGAGACGGGGCAGAAAGAGTAAGAAGCACAAAAACATTCCAAAGGTCCAAGTGGCCCTCAAGTCGAGACAGATTGTGCCTCGGCTTCAGATGGCGGAGATGGCAGGCAGCAAAGATCCGCTCATGGACAAGGTCACACACCCACTCACCCACTCTCCCCCAGCCCCACCAGCTTCTTCCTTGGACCCAGACTAGGAGAGGGAGATGGAACAATTAGGAGGGAAAGGCATAGATAACCAAGGTCTAGAGGGAGGGATAGAGTGGCTTCAGGATGACTCAGAGAGAGAAGAGGTAGGAGGTGGGCAGGGGGGTACGGGGTGCTCGGTGGGAAGTTCTGCACTGCCACCCCTTAAGGTCAGGGTGTATCTGCAAAGTCAGACTTTTTGCTGTAATAGCGACAATCCCTTAGGCTTGCACAGATTCTTAATTATCAGTTAGAAAATTCAGTCCAGGAGGTGGGAGACATGGCCAGGTGGCCACAGATCGGCCTTGCGAGCTCAGCAAAGGGGCAGAGCTGTGCTTGGCAGGAAGTGACATCACTCAGAGCCAATCAGAACAGCTGTTCTAGCCTCACAGGGTCTCTCTGCCAAGTTTTGGTGAATGGGCATGAGGACACAGAAGGTCATGGAACCATCCCTCCTCTTGCATCCAACACACAGCCCAGGCAGAAGACGCCAGGCCCTGTGGGGACCCTATCCAGTCCGGGCCGCTGGCGGGAGTGGCACTCAGCGCCACTTGTTGAAATCTGATGGAAGCGGTCAGCCCTTTGAACGGCAGTTTTCATACTGGCCAGTAGGGGGACTCGAGAGCCAGAGATCCAATTAAGTTTCTAATACGGACCCCCTCGTTATGTCTAACCTTCCCACTGGGGCCAACACTCCCTCCTCCTTTCTCCTACCCCTTTCCCAATTTAGATGTCACCTTCCCATCTTGCCGCACGCATGCGTAACCCAGCTCAGCTATGCAAAGATACACGGCTCAGTTTCCCAGCCCATTTGCCTGTGTCCCACTTTCCTGGGGTCCCCCTCTTGCCTGTCTAGTCTCCCAGGAAAATGCTTTATGGCTGAAGGTGCTGAAATGACTAATTGGATAGAGACAATTATCTTCCCCATCACTGACAGCAAGCCAGGGCAAACCTGCGCGTACCCGTGTGTGGGACTCTGTGCAGGGGTCCCTTCAGTCTGTCCATGTGTGCACCCCAGCACACCCCCTACAGCCACCGCGGGCTTTGGAACATACACCGTTGGCCACAAGAGCCTTGGGGTCTCTGCATGAAGCCCATACCTCCTATGTGGTACCCCCGACCTCAGGCATCACCTGTCAGAACCTGGAGCACTGCCAGAACCTGGGACAGCCCCTTCATGGGGCTAGAGCCTTTGGGGTCAGAGGGGAGCAAGCGTCTCATGGCAGGAGAGCAGGTGTCATGGAAAGGCCATCATAGACACTCTGGAGTACATGCTCGGGTGGGGGACGGGAGGGGGCAGCACGAGGTCCCCCAGAGCCGTGGCCTGCTTCTCTAGAGCTAACCGTTCAGGAGGCGAGTTGGTAGGCAGGGCTGCCTGGGGCCAGGACGAGGGCCAAGCAGCCAAGCTCACCTTCCAGGTGGCAGTGTTCCTGCGGAAGTAGGCAAACATCCTGGTGAACCAGTTGTAGATCTCGTTCAGGGTCAGCTGCCTGTCGGGGGTTTCCAGAATGGCCTGTGGGCAAAAGCAACCAAGTCCACACTCCAGGTGTGCGTTCTCACCGTTCTCCCTGCCTCCCCACTCCCAGCTAGGGAGCTCTCCCTTCTGCCTCGCTGGGAGCAGAGACCCCACTGCAAAATGAGAGGGGAGAGCGGCCCTGCAGAGGCTGGGAGCTGTGCGCTGAGCATGGGAGCCTCCTCTAGGGGGGAAATGCCTCTGAGAGCTCCTCAGCCCCTGGGCTGCCGCTATAAGCAGATGGCCGGAAGAGAGCTGTCTTCACAGGACACAGGCTGACCTTGGCCAAGGACATCTGAAACATGAGACAGGTTGTGTGTGTCTGTGGGGTACCAGAAAGGACATATGTGTGAACAGATGTTCGTGTGTGAGACAGGGGGAGGAAACACAGAGGGGAGAGAGAGAATGTGGGTGGTATGAGAACGGAGACTGACTTGAATCAGTTCATTGAAGTACAAGTGCACAGAAATGAGCACACAGTAGATTGTGAGTCATGAAAAACAGTCACAGGGGCAGGCATGGTAGCATAAGCCACTGTCTGTAGTGCTGGCGTTCTATATGGATACTGGCCGGAGTCCCGCTCACTCCATTCTGATCCTGCTCGCTGCCAACGTGCCAAAGAAAGGAGCAGAGGATGACCCAAGCGCTTGGGCCCCCGCACCCATACGGGGGACCTGGATTAACTACTGGATCCTGGTTCTGGCCTGACCCAGCCCTGGCCATTGTGGCCACTTGGGGGGTGAAATCAGCAAATGGAAGATCTCTCTCTCCCTCTGCCTGCTCACTCCAAAACCCTGCCTTTCCAATAAAAGATTCATAAACAAACAGGGACACACATACACAAATGTGCTGAAATGTGATGGAGATCAGATGCTGAGAATGGAGGCAGGACAAGAGAAAGAGGACCATGATAACGTGGTGGGGGGACTATACCCCAGGTCCCATGACCCTCTTAGGGGCCAGGACCTGGTATATGAGGGGCACCACCGGAGGGCCATCCCTCTTGCACTCACCTGGCGGATGAGGGAAGCATAGGTGAAAGGTGGCCTGACGTCAGCATTCTTATAGAACTCGTGATTCTGGGCCAGCTCTGGGGGAAGACAGGAGGTGGTTCAGGCAGCAAGATGGGGAGTGGAGAAACAGAGGTGGGGGGATTGGGAGGGTTGGGGGGGTGGGGGGTGGGCCCAGTCCCAGCCCAGCAACAAGCTGCCCCTCCCTCCTTACACCAGGCTGCTGACCCCCTGCCCTGACCTGAGGAGATGGGGGAGCAGAACTTGTCGCTGCTTCTCCGGCGGGCAGGGCCCCCGCTGTGCAGGGAAGCAGAACCCAGGCCTGGAGGTCGTAGGGGGGTAACAGGGGCGGCGGCTGAGGTCGGGGGGTGCACAAGACCATCAGGGAAGGAGTCTGTTGCAGAGACGGTCACCTTGGAGAACGAGGAGCCAGGGACCGGGTTCAGCTATGGGCAACAGAGTGAGGGGGCGGAGGGAGGGGGGGGCTGGAGGCTGAGACCTGCGCCCAAAGGGGTGAGGTGTTCCGAGGGGCAGTCACTCACCGGCTGGCTGAAGGCCTTGGGTTCCGAGGGCCGCATGTGCAAATGGGCCATCATGGCCTGTAGCCGCTCACTCTCCTTGGCAAGCTGCGGATGGAGGGGCAGGTGGTGGGCAGGAGGTAGGGGATCTTAGGGACCCCCTGCTCCCATCCTGCTTTGCCTCCATACATCAGCATCCTGGCCTCTCTGTTCTGCCCTCTGGCCCTCGATATCCTGGAGGCCAGCACTGGGGGGTGAGGGGGAGGCTGCTGGAAGGGGTATTTCTCTTTCTGGCTAGTGCCTGGCTCCTTCTCCTCCTCCCTGGGGGCCTCTCTCTCTCAACTTGACCTCATCCCCATCCTCTGTGTCCCCGTGGAGGGCACAAGCTGCAGCTGCACAATAGCCTTGTGGCGTGTGTACGCAGGGGGGTCTGTCGTCGCCGGCTGAATGGAGATGTGGGAGGGGATGAATGATTCATTTCTCCCCCATTCATGAATTCCAGGGCTTTCCCGCCACCACCCTCCCAGGCCAGGCCACTCTACTGGGAGCACAGGGAAATGAGGAAACAGCCTCAGGGCCAATTGGAGTGGCCTCTTGGGTGCCCCGTGGCAAGCCCGGGAGCTGGACTGCCTGGGTTCTGGCTCCAGTTCTGAGAGGCCACAGGCAAGCTAGTTTTCTTCTGTGCCTCCACGTTCCCCATCTGTCAAATGGGGTAGCAAGCACAGCCTAAAGCAAGAGGACTCCCGTCGCTGCGACCCACCCCCTAGCATCTGGCTATCCTAATTACCACACGAAGCTAAGGTGGTGGGCGTGAGGTCCTCCCCCAAAGACAGCCCGTGCTCTGCCCCCACATCCTGCAGGCCACACCTGGATCTCCAGCTGCTGCACCACCTGCATCTGAACCCTGCACTGGGCCGTGCTCCGGTCGTCCAGGGCGTGCTCGGTGTTGAGGTGTCTTGGGGGAGAGGAAAGGCAAGAACCAAGACAGTCAGTGTCAGCCAGGGCTGTTCTCGTTGCCACCACCAGCCTCCCATCCCAGCCCCTCAGCCCGGCTGTGGCCTAACTGGCATAGAGAAAGACAAAGACGAGGGAGAGGTGGGGGAAAATGGGGCGAGGCAGGAAGCCTTCTCTAGGCCTCCCAGTTTGATGTCTTTGCTAAGATCCCCGCTACAGAGAGATCTAATTGCAAATGAACTAATTAAGTAAACCTCTGACGAAGCGTGAAAACAATTTGTTTGACCCTGATGCTGCAAGGGTCTGGGAGACAGCGGAGTTAATCAGTCAGTGACAGAGCCTGGCACGGCGGTGGCAGCTGGCCGCCTGCTGCCAGCCGCCTGTCCGCCTCCCACCCTGCCTGCCAGCGGCCTTCAGCGGCCCTCAGCCCGTCACGGGGCCGTCACTCCGGTGGCTGAGTGGGAAGGGACGGCGCAGCGGGCTGAGAGGCGAGCGGAGACGCTGGTCCCACTGCTCCTTCTCCTTGCCCTCTATCCTCTGCCCCTGTGTTGGGGGTTGGGGAGGTGAGAGGAGTTGATGGGAGAGCCCCCCTAGAGTAAGGAGAGTGGGACAGCTGGTGACAGAAGGCCCCAGAAGCGACAAGCTGGGTGGCTGGCTGAGGGCAGAGGAGGGGAGGGGCGGGACTCTTGGGGGAAAAGGCTGCTGGGAGAAGCAGCTAGGCAGGGATTGGCGGGGGGAGTGGCAGGGAAGGCAGGGTGTGACACCTACTTGATAAACTGGCCCAGATCTTCACACAGGGTCTCACAGCCTGGCCACTTGCACTCTCCGTGTCCATAGAGGGGGTGGGAGCCAGGGGTCTCCTCGTGGGAGGAGCTGGGAGGGCAGGAGGGAAATGCTGGTCAAAGACTAAAGGACTTCAGCAGCCCCGGGGCCAGTTCCCCTGCTGGCAGCACTTCTCTGTTCCTTACAGAGGATGCCTTGGAAGAGAACTTAGAAAGCCCTGGTACCCTCCCCACCTCCCCAACAACAAATGCCATCCCTGGGGCCAGTTCCCGTACCTGTCTCTCCGGGGCGCAAGCACAGTGGGCTGTCCGTTAGGCAGGGTGTGGTGGGAGAGGGGAGGTGAGACCTTGGGTGGGGCGGCGAACGAGGTAGTGGTGGCGGCCGTGCCAGTGAGATCCAGCCCCTCCTGCTTGACGCTGTCCTCGGCAGGCTGCCCAGAGGCACCCTCGCCCTTCCACAGCTGGGGCAGGTCCGATGGGCACACAGCTGCTGTAGGAGAAATGGGGGTGGGGGGAGGGAAGCTGGCAGGATCCCACCACCACACAGCCTCCCACTTGGCCGCTAGGCACAAGAAAGGGGCTGCCAGTTCTGGGGTGCAGGGAGGGTGGCAGGCGGCTCACCTTGCGGGAGGGTCTGCAGGGGCCCGGAAGCCTGGCTGGGCTGCAGGCTAACCAGCCCCTGCCTCTGCAGGTTGAGCAGGTGCTGTTGCTGCAGCTGTTGCATTTGCAGGAGCTGCTGCTGGAAGGCCAGCTGCTTGTTCCCCAGTGCCTGGTGGGGGGCCCGAGGGGGCACGCAGAGAGGGCTTCCATCAGCCTCGGGCATGCCATTGGGCCCCCAGCCCGCAGCCACCCCTTCCCAGGGCCTGTCAGCTCCCGGGGCTGTCGTGGCGGTGTCTGCCGCTGCTGCCGCGGCTTCTCTGCTCCCAGCCCAGCTTCCATAGGGCTGCATGCCGCCTACAGTCAACACACGCATGCACGCACACACGCACACACGCACGCGCACACTGCCAGACCCAGACACGCAGCACGACGCCAGCCTGCCCCCTCCCTCCGTCGCCTCCGCTCCCGCGCAGCAGCAGCAGCTGTGTGCCCCTGGGTAGGGGGGCTTGTGGCTGTGATCGATGAGCCTGTCACGCTTCCAGGGGCCCCTCCTGCCCACAGGGCACCCTCCCCACATGCCTGGGGAGCCCCCCTTCTGCTTTGCAGAGGGAGAGCTTGCTTTTCAGACATTGGCACTGAACAAGATCTGCACCTGCTGGTCAACGGGACCCAGGATCAGGGCAGTGACAGCCCCACAGCCCCGGTGATTGCACCGGGTGCCTGGCTCCTCTACCTACCTGCGTCCCTGCCCCCTCCTCAACCCCCAACCCCCAACACACACACACACACACACTCAGTTCCTCACACAGGCACCAAACAGGACTTTGCTGAACCCTAGGAGCCAATGTGTCCTGGGGGGTTGCTAGGCAGGGCCCACTCTGTCTTCCTGTCCTGAGTGGGTTGGCGGGTGGGAGGGAAGGGTATGGGGCCAGATGTTCAGTAGGGAGATCCTAAAACTTAGACAGCCTAGTGACTGGAGACCTGCAGGCACATCCCATGGCAATCCCATAGCGGGGGTGAGGGGATGGGTGTTGGAGAACAGTTGGGCAATCAGGGCAGTCTTCTGGGAGGAGGTGACTCAGGGCTGGTGGATTGGGGGCAGAACTCTGTGGCACACATGGGGTGCAAGGGAGTTCTGGGAGCAAACCCATAAAGTATGAGAAGAAAAGACGTTGCTGGAGGGGGCTGAGTGAGACGGAATGAGGACAACAGAAACTGGGCAGGCAGAGGTGGGTGGCATGGCTTGCTGCGGGACTGAAGACGGCACCAACCAGAAGGACACTGGTGGACCACCAGCGTCTCACACCCTCCACATCTGTGCACGGGGGACAATGTGATGATATGGGACACAGAAGGCAGTGAGTGGCTTTCCCCAGTCCTCTGGCCGGCCGGGGGGCGGGGGGGGGGGGCTGGGAGGGTGCTCTCGGGGCTCACACATTGTCGTGGGGGCCGAGGCAGCCTCTTACCTCTTTGGGTTGCTGTTTCCCAGCCTGCTGCTGGGTGAGGAGTTGTAGATGGAGCTGCTCTTGCTGCTTCTTATAATACTCTTGCAGCTAGGGACAGGGACCAGGGGACGGCAGGAGGGTTACTATCCCATTACCTGCCGCCTGCCCCACACACAGCCCCAGTCCTGCCCTCTACTGCCTGGGAGAAGGGAGTTCGGGGGCAGGGGAGAGCGGTGGTGGTGTTACTGAGCAGGGACTGGTGAGGAGGGGAGAGGCCTGAATGCTGGAGGAAGAATGCAAGGGTGGGGACAAGGGTGAGGATGAGAAGGGGAGGGGTGGTCGGCTGAGCCATGACCTTTGGCCTCTCCCAGCTGCCTGGGAGGAATGCAGACCAGTCCAGCCTGAGCCAGCGGTCTCTCTGGTTTCTGTGACAACGCTGGCTCTGGGTGGTGTTGGCAGCAAACAGGACAGCAGGCCAGAGGCCAGGGGCTGCCTCAGGAGGGATCTGGCTGCCTGGGAGCCCGCCTTACCTGCTGCAGCATGAGTGCCTGCTGCTGCTGGAGCAGGGCCTGCAACTGCGGGGGCGACAGGATCTGCTGCATCTGCTGGGGGGTGAGCATCTGTGGTGACATCATGGCCACTGACACGGGCACCTACAAGAGTCACCAAGTTAGTAGGCTCCACTTGGTCCCGTCCATGGGTGCAACACACACACACACACACACACACACACGCGATGGTAAAGCAGCTCCCAGGGACACAGCCCCTAGGCTCAAATCATGGCTCTGCTCTGGCTGTGTTTTCCAGATGGATGACTGACCTGCTCTCTTGTTGCTAAAATACAAATGGCAACAGTGCCCTATCTGAGCCCCCAGGAGGACTAACACATTCACTCTTAGGACAGAGCCTGGTGCATGGCAAGCGCTTTAAGAGTAGGCCATAGGCCATTATGGTAGGTGGCACTGTCCATGGAATGCTGGGACACAAAGTTGCACTCAGTCTCTTCTGAGACCAGCACCTGCAAGGGTGCCTGGCTAAGAGGGCAGTCTGCAGCCATGAGGAGGAGGAGTCAAAGAGTGGCCCACATGGCATGAGGCGCTAGACGTGGACTGGGTTCACATACATCACACACTCCGGCACACCTGTCAGGCGTCCCTCATGGTGGCCCGGTGCTGCAGCCCAGGGGGTGTATACTGATGCCAGCTGTGCAGCAGAAAGTACAGCAGGTGGGGAAAGAGGAGGGAGACAGGCTTCTGTCCCGGGCTCTGCAATCCACCTCGAGGAAGTCACCTGCCCTCTGTGATGTCCGAGTCCTTCCACACATGAGGCAGGGACTGAACCACAGAAGAGGATTCCTTCCTGGACTCTCAAAGCCCAGCGGCAGCTTTTCTGCCCCTCACCCAAGGGGAGGCCTCCACAGGAGGCTCCAGGGATACAAAAGCAGAGAAAAAGCAAAGATATCATTTTTTTTTCTCCAGCCTCATCTCACCTGAGACTCCCAGGCTTGCGCAGTCATGGTTAGGGACGTCCAAGCCATCCTACGGTCCTGACTCCATTTCAACAGACCACCTGCCACCGCTATCTGTCCACTCTCCCCTCCTTTCCTACAACCAAGCCCTGGCAGAGTGCCAGAGCACACAGCAGGCATTCAGTGCTTGCTTCCCCTGTGCTGACTCACCTGTCCCAGCAGGAGGACAGCCCTGGGGCAGGAGGGAGGGGTGCAACCAGACCAGCCAGGGAGGAGTGTCATGCAGCAACTTGCTTTGCACAGGGACAGGCTAGGTCCCCTGGGGGAGTCCTCTCCCAGCCCCAACCCCACCCGTGGGGCTCCTTCCTATCCTTGGCAGGGTGGGGGTTCCTTACTCTACCTGGCAGGACCAAGATCCAGCCATGAGGCACTCCCTTAAGCCACAGGTACAGAGGTCCCCAGGTAGAGGAGCAAGCAAGCAGATGCACTGAACCCTGGAACCCTGGAAAGTCCCAGAGGCAGCCCCTTCTCACTCAGTCCTGGGTTCACATCCTAACCCTGGCCCAGTTCTGCCCACGTGTCCCTAAGAGGGAGACAGCTGTGCTTCCGACTGGACCTCTGGGCCCTGCGGGAACTGAGGCTCAGCATTTGGGAATTTCCCCCCGTACTGCCCTGTAACCCTGTTTCTACCAAAGAGGAGATCAGACGTGCAGTGGGACTAAAGCCCAGGTGCCCACGTGTATGTCTACATGCACCCACTACAGCCTGGAGCAGGGGCTTAGTGCAGGTAGGGGCAGCAGAGCTGGATGCGGTCAGGTGTTCCCTTCCCACCTGCACCTTAGACGGACTCTGAGGAAAGCTGGGCTGCTGGCGTGGCAGGACCCTCAGTCTCTGGGCAAGCCTGGGGTTGAGGGCAGGCAGCGGCTCAACCCCAATCCTTGCAGAGCCAGACCCTGCGCCTGCCATTGAGCGTTCAGAAGTAGCCGAGGCAGCTGCTCCAAGAACTCCAGCTTTGCTATCTAAAGACGTAGGTAACAAATGCTAGACTGGAAGCATTTGTCATCAAGCAAGTACTTGGCCTGTCCTTGCTTTCCTCCACCCATAGCACAGAGGTGGGCTGAGAGAGAGCTCAGAGCCCTGGCTGAGCAAATGACCCAGGTTTGCTATCTTGAACCTGATATCGACTCTTTGAAATCGCCAAGCCTCCTCCTCCTCCCTGTCTGCCCTCCTCACCCCACTTGGCTGCACTGGAGTGACACAGACTGCCAACAGCCTGGGGAGAGCAGGTGCTTGATACAGATCTTTGTGTGAATTGTGGCATCCTCACTGTGTTCCCTAGCAGGGGGAGGGTAGAGTAGCGGATGTTATCATCACTTCCCATTTCCCAGATCAGAAGGCTGAGGCCCACAGTGTTTCAAGAAGCTGCACTGCCTGGCAAAGGTCACTTAGTACCAAAACCTCTAGGGACCACTCCTCCTGATCAAAGGCCACAGAAAGAGACTGGACCAGACATCCAGCTCTTTGCAGGCACCAGGACTGTGAGCTGCCGGAGTAGCACACAGAATGGAGGTGGCATGTCCTCCCTTAGAGGCTGGGGAATGGGAGAGGTTACCCTGGCTCCTGCCAACCCTGCCTATGGGGCTGCAGCCACCACCTGATGTGTGCTTGCCTCAAGGTGGCCCAGGAGAGCCAAGCAAAGAACCAGGCTGAACTTCCTGGATGTCCCCACTGACTTGTCATTGGGCTGGATGTGTCAGGCTGGGCACCCTCCAGCAAGTAAGCTCAGCGAGCCCATGAGTCACCATTCTGGAGTGGCCAGGGCAGAGAGATACCTCTTTACATCCTGGCGGTGTAAGCCCTGGGCCACATGCTGGCAGCTACCTCCAGTGACTGGAACTAGGGGATGATGGGAGCAGGAGGATCACTGCTCAGGCCCTTGAGATTTCCATCCAAGTACATGCTGTGTTAGGTCGCAGGCCTGACCAGCAGGTGCAGAATCTTGCCCAGCATACAGGATGCTTCTTGAAGGCTGAGGGCTAGGAATAGATGTGATGGAGTGCTGGAGTCAAGGACCCAAACTCAGCCACCTGGGTTCCAGAGGGAGTGGGGAGCAACGTGGTCAGAGCTCAGCTCGGGTTCAACTCCCTTGCCAAAGACAGGAAGGAAATTCTCCAGTTAATTCTGGGCTGGAGGCACAACAACAAACCTAGCAGTGGGACATCAAGAGCAACGTCCAGAAATGTCCAACAGGAGGCAGACAGGGCCAGAGGCTCTGACTCCAGCCATTTCCCAGCCCACGCTCACCTCCCGGCTACCTGCGCTGCCTTCTGTGACACTCCTTCCTTGTTAGAACCCCAGGCTCAGCCACGGGCAGGCGCTCTTGCTAGGCTACAGCCAGAGACCTAAGGACACTTTTGGAGGTGTTGGCTGTGGCTCAGATGGGAGTGGGTAGGCAGGCCTTCTGGGGACCAGTGTCCTAAGGGCCTCTTGGGGTGGACATGGCTGCTACTGGTCTCATCACCCATGTTGCTTAAGTTTCACCTTTTCCCCAAGGGAGCAGAGCCCAGCCCTGGTTATCCTGTTCCTTCTGGGGTCTGTGACCTCAGCAGTGGGGCTGGGAGGCAAAGGAAGGACTGCGGGGTAGGAAGAGTATGAGAGGGATGGGCCACCAGGCTTCTGTGTCCAGACACTGGTGATGGTGCTCACAGAGCATGAAGCCCAGGGAGGCCTCACGGGGAGGGAAGTTGTGGACCCAGTTGTCAGGGTTTGCATGCAGGCTATGCCCACTGTGTGACTGTGGACAAGCCACTTAGTCTCTCTGGGCCCTATGTGAAAGACAGGACCCTGGTGAAGTGCCTGAGGCAGGTTTCACAGCTAAATGCTCCTTAATAAACAGCAGCTGCTGATTCAGGGCCAACTTGGTGAGTGTCTGTGAGTTGAAGGAATGGGTTGTTAGGAGGCTTGGAGAGGCCCAAGAAAGTGGCCTTGGTGTCTGCCTCTATCACTCCTTGCATTTCCAAGAGGGTCTCCTAGGTTGGAGGCCACTATTCCAGTCCAGCTGGGCAGGTCCCTCTTGGTGCCTGGCCACTGTTCTTCCAGCTGCCACTGAACTCTTCCCTCCTGCCCACCTTAGTCGGGGTGGGATGCAGCAGACCCTTTCTGACTTTGGGGGACATTGCTCTTCTCCACCTTTGCCTTGAGTACTAAACCAGGCTGAGCAAAGGGAGGGTTCAGCAGAGGCCAGAGGGGCCCCATAAAACCCAAAGAGCAGCATAGGTGGGAGTCCCTAATTCAATCAGACCCAGGATAGGACACCACAGGGGTGTGGGAACTTTTTCTTCCTCTCTTCACTGACTTTCCAGCCCTCCCAACCTCCACCTCAGGCCACGCCCCCTCTCTGCCCAGCACCGCCCCCTTAGAAGGTAGACTCCTCCCAGGGCTACTGCTGGGGCTGCACATTTGTCCTGCACCTTGAGCAAACTTGATAAACATAAGCTCATGTCTACAAAACCCTGATCCTGCGTCAGGTCCTCCAGGAGCAAGCTTGGGCCCGGGGCTTCCTTTTAGCACCCAATACCCCTCCTCACCTCCCAGCCAGCTAGGCTGCAGATCAGCTCCAGAGCAGGCTCACCCTTCCTCCCTTTAGATAAACTTCCTTTCAAAGCCCGTTAATCCTCTCCCCAATTCCAAGCCCCCCTGCCCATTGCCCGTGCAGCAGTTGCTTCTTCGGGAGGGAAGGGGAGGGCAAGCCTGCTGGGCTGGGGGAGGGGGAGGGGAGTAGACTGTCCCAGTGGTGACCCACCCTGGACTCAGACAGCAATTCCCCAAGTTCTTTGTGACACAAAAGGTAAACAGAAGGCCTGGCTCCCCCCACCACCCCTTCCTCCCCCTCGCGTCTCCCCTCCCCCTACCAGCCAGATGGGCCGGCAAGCTTGGGGGAAGGGGAAGGAGAGGGGGAAAAGGGCAGATTGTGTAAAGAAAAACAAAAGAGACAGAGAGAGAGAGAGAAAAAAGAGAAGAGAGACTTACAGAGACAGGAAATGCTGACAGCCTAAGAAGTGGAGGCGGGTGAAGGGGGCTCTGGGTAGGGGGAGGGGGAGACCCGGAGAAGGACCTGGGCTAGGGGGTGGGGGCAAAGAGAGCGACAGACAAACAGACCACAGAAGTGGCTTGAGTTGACAAGGAGAGCTGTAGCCAGAGGCCGGGACCAGGCAGGCCCTGCCGGACTGATCAGGGGAGCCCAGAGAGAAAGTGGGAGTTTCTTTGCCCTGCCCCTGAAGATTGTTCCTTCTGGAAAGCAGCCCACATTTTGGCCTTGGTGGCTAGCAAGAGCCATTCTTCCAGTGGGTCCCGGAGGCCCCGTGTGCCAAGCCCACCCTCCTCCAAGACGCGGCCCCACCCTCCTCCTCACCTGCATGGCAGAGGCGGACTGCTTGCTGTCGTTGCTGCCCGGGGAGCCCAGGCCTGAGGCCTGCTGCAGCAGGAACTGCCGGGCCACCTGGAGAGCCTGCCAGACAAGGGGTAAGTCAGTCAGGGCCGGCTGCAGCCAGCCAGAGCTAGCAGGCAGGCTGAGTGGAGGGTCCAATGGGGGAGAGGGGAGGCCAACTGTCAGGGTTCAGGCAGCAGAAGCTGTGGGGACACCCTCGTGGGACTCAGGTTCTGCCAGTATTGCAAATGGAATGGCCAGTGGACCACAAGGACTCCAGGGTGGGCTCAGAGAACTAACATAATAGCAGGTGCTGTTAGCTGAGCATCTATTATGCTTCAGGCATTTTCCAGACAGAATCACATTTGATCTTCCCCTCTAGGGCAGTGAGGTAGGGATATGAGTGTCCAGGAGGCTGCAACTTGCTCTACAATCATACAGCTTGAGGGGAAGGTGGTATCAGAGGCAGCAGGAGGCCCCAGGACCAGCCTCATTCCAAGGGCCTCTGTCAGCCTCTGGGTGGCTGCTCTGGGGATTTGGCTGTCAGAGGACACAGCTTGGTGAGACATGGGGCCATGGTCTAGGGGTTAAGGGGCAATAGGGTGCGAGACCTGGTAGGGTGGCAAATGAGATCATGTCCTGCAGGGTGTGTGTGACCTGCTGGCGGGGAGCAGGGGATCTGGACCTCTGAGCCGGGGAGGACAGGACTCTGAGCCACAGAGGTCCCAGAAGCAGGAAGAATATGGAGTCTTCAGGGGTCAAGGAGGTGGGACCGGAGAGCTGGCGGGAGCACAGGATAAAAGGCTAAGCCCTGTAAACCCACGGACTCCCTCACACAGGGTCAAAGTGGAGCTCAGCATTCACATTCTGTGAACACAAAACCTGCCTGTGCCCACACAGACCCCTTGGGAGCCAGGACGGCAGCTGAATCGCAGGTCTGCCCATTGGCCAGCCATGACCTTGGACAAGTCATTCCGTGGCTTATCTGCAGAACTGGGACCCCACCCATCTCCGAATTACTCTGGGGATTAAAGGGCCCGTGCTTGGCACCTCGTTGGCATTCAGGGAGTGTTCCCTCCCTCCCTTTCTCATTAATCTCCCTCTCTCAACGGCTCTCCACCTCTCCAGTCACCACCTCCGGCCTCTTTCTAGCACTCCTGGGGTGGAAGGTGCCTGCTCAGGGTGCCCTCTCAAACCTGTCCGCACTCCGACTGATACTTTCTCACACTTTCATTGCCCTACCCTATCACACGCACCTTCGAGGGAAAATCTTTCACGGCAGGATCTGGCTGGGTCAAATGCACCCGCCACTCAGCAAACACCTGCAAAGGCCCGCTGTGTACCAAGCATATAGACACACACACACCCACACCCACAGCCCTAGTCACCGACTGGACTGAACGGCCAGCCTCCCCTGGGGCCCAGGTCTAGTTTACCTTAAGCTGGCGTCTATGCACACACAAGGGGTATCTCTGGGAACATGTGCTGCACCGCTCCCCCACCTCCCCACCCCAAGCAGACCTGGACTTCACATTGGCACGTTCCTCCCCCAGCCCTTCTTCTGGATGAAAGGATTTAGTGGTGGGTGGAGACAGGAGAAACAGGGAGTCAGCCAGGAGGTGCCAGGAGGGAGCCCCTGCCTGTCTCTTACTGACTAGCTACAGGTGTCATGATAGATGCTCTTGGTCCCCCAAAGACAGAAGTGCTGTGCAAGCAGGGCATGGCCCAGAGCAGAACACTGCATTGTGCGTGGAGTGACGGCGGAGGGGTTCTGGTGTCAGGGGTCTGTGCTCCAGACACACCGGCACACTCACTGTCTCCTGGGTTCACACACCTTCACCATCACCTTGCTTACATCCTCCTGTGCCTGCAGGCATTCTGCTTAGTTTGCTTTCAACCCAGCCCTGACTCAACATGGGCCCTGGCTGCACCCAAAAGACCACCCTGGATATGCCTATCGTGGGGATTTGGGACAGATTCTAAATCTAAATCCCCTCCCCAAGTAGCCTGGACATGTCCCTGGATGCTCAGCATAACTTCCACTACTCTATTCCCAAACACTGCTCTCATCTTCCATGTACCCATTGTCCTAGCTGAACAGAGGTCTCCTCTAGAGTGGTCTGAAACCTCCTGGAGTCCTAGGTGGGTCACAACATCTCTGCAGGGCAGGGAAGGTGGACTAAAGAATCACAGGAATACCCTCCCCACAGAGAGATGGAAATTACAGCCCCCAACCGGCTTCAGCTGCCACCAGCAGCCAACATAGCACAACTGCCACACCTAGGGACTTCAGGAAGTTGCTGGAAAAACAGAGTTCAACTTGTTTTGGTGCAAACATTTTGAAACCCATACCCATGAGAAGTCTTCCAAAACAAGCAAACAAACAAACAAAAACAAAAGTTCACAGAGAACCCACATTCCAGAAATGATGGCAGGAACTTCAAAATTCTCTGCACAAAAATAAACTGATTTCACATTCCATTATTCCATGAACTCTCTGAAGCATCTTATGCCACCTATTTATTTTAGGTGGAAAATGGAAAGCAGGCACAGGCTCACACCGAATCTAAGAGCTGACACATGGAGCCAGGGTAGTGACGGAGTTAAGGTGCTCGTGACACAAGCATCCCCACATCAGTCCCTGACTGCTCCACTTCTGATCCCACTCCCTGCTAAGGAACCTGGGAAAGCAGCAGAGAATGGCACAAGTACCTGGGCTTCTGCCACCCATGTGGGAGATAAGAGCTTCTGTCTCTCCCACTCTCTGTTGCATTGCCTTTCAAGAAAGTTGCTTTTTTTCTTTTTTTAAAGAAAAGATTTAGTTGGGCCCAGCGGCGTGGCCTAGCGGCCAAAGTCCTTGCCTTGAATGCCCCGGGATCCCATATGGACGCCAGTTCTAATCCCGGCAGCTTCACTTCCCATCCAGCTCCCTGCTTGTGGCCTGGGAAAGCAGTCGAGGATGGCCCAAAGCCTTGGGACCCTGCACCCGTGTGGGATACCCGGAAGAAGTTCCTGGATTGTGGCTTCGAATCGGCATAGCATTGGCCGTTGTGCTCACTTGGGGAGTGAATCATCGGACGGAAGATCTTCCTCTCTGCCTCTCCTCCTCTCTGTATTTCTGACTTTCCAATAAATAAATAAATCTTAAAAAAAAAAAAAAAGATTCAGTTTATCTTATTGGAAAAGCGGATGTACAGAGAGAAGGACAGACAAAAAGATCTTCTGTTTCTTGGTTCAAGTGGCTGCAACAGCCAGAGCTGAGCCGTTCTGAAGCCAGAAGCCTGGAGCTCTTTCTGGGTCTCTCCTGTGGGTGCAGGGGTCCCAAGGTCCTGGCCCATCCCCTACTGCTTTTCCAGATCATAGCAGAGAACTGGATGGGAGGTGGAGCAGCCAGGACACAAACTGGTGCCCAGATGAAGGCTGGTGTTTGCAGGTAGAGGATTAGCCTGTTGGACCACATCACCATGAAAAATTTTTTTTTCTAAAGAGCTTATATTTGCATAGAACCTTGATATCTTCAAGCATTTGTTGAAGCTTCAAACACTGAAAGAGGCAGAGCTGCTATCACATGTCCACCTTATAAGCAACGTCTCTGAAGCCCACAGCCCCACGGCCAGCAAGTAGAAAAGAGTTTGGACACCTCTGCTGTCAGCCCCCTGCCACTTCCTGCCCCAAGAGCCTCGTGTTACCAAGGGCAGCCCAGCGAGGACAAGGTGGCAAACCAGGAGTCCCGTAACCTCTTTGATCTCATTTGTCCCCTCGGACTGATATCAAACACCCAGCCCTGAGGTCCAGGGTTATGGTCTTGCTTCCCCCAGGGAGGCAGAGCTGGAAAGCCTTAGCTCTATCACACACACAATGCAATCTTGAGTAAGTCACTTCCCTTTTGGTGAGCCTTTGATTCTTTCTCTGTAAGCCACGACTACACTAGCTCACACAGTGTGCATGGAAGTCCCCCTTGCAGTGTCCACTCCCGCTTGAACCTGGAAGGACACTCAGTACTGTTGTTATGAAGCTCCTGTGCCCAGCGCCACTGGAAGGCCTTGCTCACCAAAGCCTCTTCTATACCCTCTTCCTCCCCCCTCAGGTTTGCTAATGAAGCCGAAATCACCCCCCCCCCCATTCCCCATTCTGAAGTCATTAGTAGGATCTCCACAATTAGGCACCAATGGCTTATGACGGACAGACGAGGGCAACCAGCAAGGAGGGGAACGAAGCTGTAGCTGAGGGCAACGGGGAGCTGCTATCAAAAGGAAAACAAGGGGCTGGTGCTATGGTATAGTGAGTTAGGCTGCCATCTGCAATGCTGGTACCCCTTTTGAGCACCCCAGCTGTTCCAGTTCTGATCCAGCTCCCTGCTAATGTGCCTGGGAAAGTAGATGGCTCAAGTCCTGACTTGGGCTCCTGCATCCACGTGGGAAACCTGGAAGAAGCTCCTGGCTCCTGGTTTAGGACTGGCCCAGCTACAGGCATTGCAGCCAGTGAGTGTATGAACTGTATGGAAGATTTTTCTCTCCCCCCACCCATAACTCTGCCTTTCAAAAGATAGAAAAGGAAAGAAGGAAAGAAGGAAAGAAGGAAAGGAGGAAGGAAAGAAGGAAAGAAGGAAAGAAGGAAGGAAAGAAGGAAAGAAGGAAAGAAGGAAAGAAGGAAAGAAGGAAGGAAGGAAGGAAGGAAGGAAAAAGAAAAGAGAAGAAAAACACAAGTCTTAGAGTAAAGGGTTCCTTACTTCCTGTTTTGAGAATTTGGGGGTAGGGACTGGTAATGGGGGTATATTCCTAAAAAAGGCATATGCCAGGTCCCTCAGCAGTCCCTTCACCTGACAGGTGTCTCCTCGTGCCCTATGTGGCTCAGGGAGAGAGCTGGGAGTGAGAGGGGACTTGTTCAGGGTCACCACCTGGCTGGCCATGACCCCACAGCATGTTATGCCAGTGTAGCGGTTCCAAAGGCAGGACTTCACACACACACACAGTTACACTGTTCTGGTTATGTTACACATGAGGACAGCGGTCTCCGGGAGACAAGGCGACGGTGGTGACAGGCAGAGCCTGCATCCAAGAGTGCCTATGTGGAGAGGCGAC